TCCAGCAGGTGAGGCAGGGTTGAAGATGTTGATGATACCTGTAGCTGCAATCGCTCACTGTCCGTTATTTTTTATTCGCAGTGGAAGTAATGCTTTTGGTATGAGCGTCCGACTAAGTAATGTCATTCTTATGGGTAAGCAATCACGATTGCGACAGCCCAGGCGCTACACAATATCACGGTCTGGATACGCTCTGCTAGATGGAAGGGATTAGACAAGGGCCTCCAACTAACCCTTAACCCTCTGAGGGCATCCATGTTCCTAATCGCCGACCCATGAAGAGGATTTTGCTGCTTCTCCGCTGCGCATCGTGCGATTTTCCTGTGGAAAATGGCCCTATACACGCAGCAGCCTTCAGAAGGTGGCCCCCGAGACCCTGAAGTCTCGTTTGTGGCCTTTATCCGGAGAAGCCAATACCCCTTAATTAAGGAATATACCTTAAATTCGAGGGGCCTCAATATTATGATTTAAAGTATATTCCTGAATTAAGGGGTACTGGGTTCTCTGGGCACGTGCAAGCCAGAGGCTCTAGGGGCTGGATGGGGCTGGTAGGGTGTAGAGTTTAGGGTTTAGGGTTTAGGGTTTAGAGTTTAGGGTTTAGGGTTTGGGGTTTAGGGATTAGGGTTTGGGGTTTAGGGTTTAGGGCTAGGCCTTCGCGGGAACAGGGCTTCGGCTAACTAGAAAGTGCATGACCCTCGCACCTACGATGACAACAGCAGCAACATCCGCTAGAACAGTTTGGCATTTAGGGCTCGGTGCGGAGTATAGCCAAGAAATACTCTGAAAGTACAACACCATATTGCAAGGCTACCATCATCAATACGTTGACTTTACCAGGCGCGACACGATGTCGACGACAACCACCACTACCGCATATCAACCAGCTAAAGCAGCAAACAGCAGTTACAGGAGCTTCGACGTCCCAATGTTTCAAGCCTGAAAACCTCTCAAGCCCTCACTAACCCAAAGTCACCTAAAGCCTGAGCCCGAAAAGCCGGGAATTTAAACCACATGCCTTAAACCCTGAAACCCTGGACTCTAGATGCACCCCAAGATCGGGGACTTCGCAACTAGAAGAGGATCTTGAAATAGACCATACCATGGTCAACCAGGGACGATGCTGGACTAGTATGAGAAACCACTCAACCTAAAAGGCGGTTTCGAGCCCCACGGTTCAGGCCAGGGTTCCAGGTTCTAGGGTTTAGGGTTGAAAGTTTAGGGCTTTAAGGTTTTGGGATTCATTCTGAAAGGGTTTGGGGCTTTGGGATTCAGTCTTAAGGGAGGATTTCTTCTTCAGGTATTGTTGCTTTTCTATGTTACCTTCCGCCTATTTAGGACTATGCCCACACTTAATCTCTCATTTCAACAACCAGGCCCAAAAACAATCAAACTTCATAGGATAGACCTAATCCATAACGCGAAACGGTTTCAAGTGCTCCTATTCGCTATCTAAGTTAAGTTAACATGGATCCTAAACCCTAACCCTAAACCCTAAAGGATCCTAGTATAGAGGCGCTCGGCCTTTGCTGCAGTGCGGCAGGGGCGAGCGCTTGGGTTTGTGATTTTGAACCGGTTTAAGCCTTAGGGCTTGCGGGCAAAGCAGGGGTACTGCAGCCACCTTGCAAAGCTAAAGGAACGAATCGGCATGCGAGACCAGCAACGAGCCACATTCGTGGTTCGCCCTGCTCTTCGACGGTTGCAGGTGCGTGTTCCCCTCACAGGAAGGCCATCGAAATCCTGGGTCATGCACAACACCTGCAACTGTCCAGAGATTTGCCTGGTCAGTTGGCATGCATCTGATCAGCTGGTTGTTTAGATCCAGTATTTGGCTTTTGGAAGATCGACCCGTGTTCGCAGAACCGAAACTCGCTCGCAATACTCACGCCTGAACCAGCAAGTCTACCCGACTCAAGGGCACGGGCGAGCTCCAATGCACCAACGAGGTTAAGCTTCCTTGAAAGGTTTTAAACCCCTAGTGCTTTCGACTCCCACAACCCTGTGCATTTTCCGAGACCTATACAATTTATACACTTCTGAACTCAAGAACATATAGGTCCACAAGTTCGGTTCGTAGCATACCTATATGCTTTAAATCCTACAAAACCCAACCTCCATGGCACCAAGTACCCGGTAACCATACACTCTCCAGAAACTACCAATAACCTACAGTCCCATTGTCCTAAACCGAAGTGCCTAGTGACTTTTAATTAGCTTTTGCTACTCTTGAAGCCATGACGCAGAGCACATATTAGGTACTGCCGGCCCTACCTACATCGCCCACACCCTAAACCCTTAAGCCGTCACCCATAAACCCAAAGCTGTGGACAAGTATGATCGGCCTTCCGACGAGCCCTCAACAATATAAGGTTCAAGCTTTCCCACGCAAGGCCTAGGGTTTACCTAAGTGCCCAAATAGCAGCGTTTACGTACCCCGAACTTTTCAGAGCATAGCCTTTGGGTATTTGTTCAGGGTCTTTTCTAAGGCCCTATACCCTAACTATACTGAACTTAGACCCCTAGCAAAAATTATAGTTTTAGCTGCTTCTTAGGGTTTTTAGTAGCCAAAGATTAAAAATATTTCTAAGGCCCTAAACCCTAAATTGAACCCTCCAGGTTCGGCAATGAAGCTTGATCCCTCGAGGCAGACATAATGTTCCCTATGAACTTTAGTCTAGTCTACCCCAAGCCGTACTGTAATTCATAAGGCCCCTATATTACCCGTTACATGGTTCGGGATTTGGACCTCTGGGTCTAGCGTTTAGGATTTGAGGCGCAAGGCTCAAGGTTTCAGGGCCCAGAGGGTTTAGCGTTTAGGGTTTAGTTTCAGGGCCCAGTTAAGTGCATAGGCTAATCAGGAATGCCTAACTACTGTTTATGATATAAATCCTGCATTACCTTAAGGACCCTAAGCTATGGGAACTATGGCCTATTTTTTATTCTGGGTAATGCAGGATTTATATCATCAACCGTCTGGAGACATGTGCAATGAGCACTCTGTCTAAAAGCTTGCATAAACCCTAAACCCTTTCAGCACGGACTGAGGTGCCGGCCAGCGCCTAAACCCTAAACCCTAAACCCATGTCTAGAAACCTGAAGCTTGAGTACGACGAGCTCCTGAAGATGTAGATTCGGAGCTAAGGGGGTCGTATGCCAGGGACATCTGTCGGAGTCTTAAGGGACAGCACCACATATGACGTATTCAAGTCGCTAGATTACCATACAAAGCCCCCTTACGCAACCCCTACAAACCATAGAAGGAACCCTTATAAAAGCCTGCAGAATCACTTTAGAACTCGAGACAAACCTTAGAAGCACCTGTATAAACCCAACATACAGCCCTGTAGCACCCTGTAGAGCTTTTGAAACCATTTAAAGCACGTAAACCCGTGATAACACCCTCAAGCCCGTAAAGTAGACCACACATACTATCTCCTAGATTCGTCCTAGACATGGCCCCTGAACTCAAGATCCTTAGCTGTCAGTTTCGGTTCCGGCGAAGTTCGTTGGACGGTGTCTGCTCGGCAGAGCAGGGGCTGCCAAGTCTGAGCATGCGCAGCATGGAAGCCTCGCCAGAAAGGTTTCGTTAAATTGCTCCTATAAAGCCTTCAAAAAGTTGTCTATACGGCTTCCTTCAAAAGGGTCACTGTCATGGTTTCTGGGCTTGAAGGTACTAGTCTTGAAACCAACTAAGCACGTTTGGGGAGTCCTTGTATAAAGGATCCTATCCTACATGTTTGGGGATTTGTACGTGGGTTGTAGGATCCCCACTAGATGCAGGGCCTATGCTAGAAGTATGGCGGGAGCATGTGGGGTCTGCGGTCTCCAGTGGTGTGAGATGAGTACACTAGCGATGCAAGATGATGCACGCAGCAAGCGCAACTGCGCAATATGATACAAGTCCCAGGGTCGCAGACCCCAGAAGCGCCCCCCAGAGTAATCAAGATGGGGTTTAGGGCGATGGTTTGATCATGCACCACTGCAGAATACTCTATGCTCATATGCCACTTGCCGTTAAGATGACCTCGGGCCTTGTGTTGCGCGTTTCATGACACCGCACCTGAAAGCCTCACAGAACATGTCACATCCCCAACCTTAACCCCTTCTAACCTACCTTTTAAGGACCGATGTCAGCAACTCAACTTAAGAATCCCTAAAAAGGTAGGGTTCTATAGAGCCCCGGAACTTTTAGCAGACTAAGTAGCCTAAGTAGTGAACCACAGCTGTAAACCCTGAACTAGACCCGTGAAATCCGAAGCATTTCAGGCTTGAGACCTGTAGGGTTCGGGGTGCTAATCCCCAAACGACTACCCTTTCTTTCTCCAGGGTTGTGGTGGGGAGTTGCCTCCCTCTCTCTCTCTCTATATATATATATATATATATCTCTCTCTCTCTCTCTCCCTCCCTCTCCCAGGCATTCGAAACTTCAAGGCAGACTGAAGGGCGCAACAACTAAATACCCTAAGGTTTAAACTATTGGGTTCAAAGCCCGGCTAGTCTGTGCAACAAGCACGGAAGTCCCGTTTTCGATAAGGCCTCAAGTACCTACGTATTTCTCTCTGTACACACACACACACATATATATATATATATTGATTGTATACACACACATAACTAAAATATAGGAACATGCATATGTTAAATCATAGGTAGATAGATAGATAGATAGATAAATAGATAGATAGGTAGGTAGGTAGGTAGGTAGGTAGGTAGATGGATAGATGACAGACAGATAGAGAGATAGAGAAATAAAGAGATAGGCAGGAATAAAGATAGAAATACACAAATGCAGAAATATAGATAGATATATCGATAGATAGATGGATGGATAGATAGATAGATAGATAGATAGATAGATAGACTGATAGATAGACAGATAGATTGTAATGTGTGTGTGTGTACATATATATATACACATAACACGTAGGTCTGAAACGGTTTTCCATTAAATCTACTTTGAGGCTTAAGCCTATACCATACAGGCACATGGAGCCTTCGGGTTTTCAGACCAAGGAGGTGAACATGAGGTTGAACTCGGACTCCTCGGCAGCCAAGATTCGTCAACTTATTTCCCCAAAACCAAGGACGGGGGTGGTTTTTTTGGTGCACTTCTCGATTTGTGCGTGTCATTCTTGGGCAGGGGCCATGCTAATCTTCTCTGTATCGTTCCGTTTTGTATCGGATGATTCCCAGGGTTTAGGGTCTAGGAGTCTAAGGGTTGTCAGGAGAAGAAGAATCTCTGAGAGTCCAAACCCTATGCACAGCATCTTCTCCGAGGTTTGGAATAACAGAACTGCAACCTTGAAGCAGGTCGACACATTGTTAGCATAGGTTTCTGAATAACTAGAAGATGCTGCTTCGGGGGTGTATGATTCCGGCCCCGTTTCCCCGGCCTTGAGCCAGCGCCGCCGTTTGATTCGTGGCTCTGAACCCTTACCTGTGGCCCCCCAAAACTTTCTAGAAAGTACAAAAAGCAACACACAGAAACTATAACGAGGAACTGTAGGCTTTTTGGGCTACAGATACTAGGTTTCGGCTTTAGGGGTTTAGGGGGCCGAGAGTTTAGGGCTGGCTACAATCCTGAAGAAATTTAATGCAAGGTTCTCGAGCTCTGAGCCCCAATGGTGTCTCTCATTTCCAGACGACCGACAAGGCAGAGTTGCACCGACAAGAGCACAAATGCTAAGTCCCATACCGCCCCTTACCACTTGCATTGCTGTTATCCTGGTGTTACTAGGGTCGCGGCGGCGACGACGACGACTACTGTTGCCTCTTGCCCCTACTACTAGTATTCCCTCTTCGTTCGTGCTGGAGCTCACAGACTGCACTCTGAAACCAAGAGCCTAAACCCTAAACTGAATCCTTGAATTTTTAATCCCAGACCATCACAACATCAACTTGCTGCCATCTTTGTAGCCTAGCAAATCTTGGGATGCACAACTGTCAGGAGCATGCACTAGAAGAATCAGCCTGAGTGTCGCCTCCTTGGACGAAGGCTCAAAAACTGCTTGAACCAACGAAAACCAGAACAAACAACATTTACATGTGTTGCTGTATGATATGATGGGTTTGGGGTTTGAGAAGGTTGTTGGGTATTGGTTGCTCAGGAATCAAGGGACAACCGCTGTATCTAGTCAAACCCTAAACCCTAAACCCTATCTAGTCTGCCAGGCATCCAAGCACAACCTCCGCTCTTTGCAGCTGTCGGCAGGCTGCGGCGCCGCGCTAAGATCCTCCCCAGAGACTCCAATATCCCTTAATTAAGCAATATACCTGAACTTATAATAGGATCCCTAATACGATTTAAGGTATATTCCGTAATTAGGGGATATTGGAGTCTCTGGGTCTTCACCACTCTGGAACCCCATAGGTATTTGCATGCAAAGTCCCACGGAGCCCAGAGCTTTGCTGAAGCTGGCGGCTTAGACAATACATAGGGATTAAGGCTAGGTTTAAATCACATGTTGCAGGACTGAACAGGCCACCTTTAACTCCGAATCCGAGCTCCATCTCAGGTTGGCCCTAAGCCCTAAACCCTAAACCCCAAACCCTAAACCCTAACAGGGCAGAGTTGCCTTCTTTGGCTGAAGAGGTGTGGGGGTGGAAGACTGGGGCCTTCAGGGATTAACTGTTTAGAATTTTGGGGGTTTAGGGTGTTGACACTTGGTACGCTTCTCGATTTGTGCGTTTCATCCTTGCGCAGGGGCCATGCTAATCTTCTCTGTATCNNGGGTTTAAGGTTTAGGGTCTAAGGTTGAGGGTTTAGGGTTTAAAGGTTTAGGACTTAGGGTTTAGAATAGCAGTGGCTTGGTGCTCTGGTGCTCTGTATCGAACCGTAAACAACACCTGGTATGGAACATAACCGAAGTCTTATCGAACCTCTCTAGAGTCTAGTCTGGACTCTAGAGCCCTTGTAAGACTCTTACAGATCCCCAATAACTGAACTCTTATGAAGCCCTTAATTATCGACTGATAGATCCCTGAGTATGGGACTCCTAAAGAAATCCCTTAGAGTAGAACCCTTCTTGGACGTCGTTATAGGTCATAGAAGCCTTGTCGAATTGAAGCCTTATGGAACCCTTCGTCTAGAACTCTTCTAAAACCTTGTCATAGGACTCTTATAGAACCATTATGGTGAAACCGTATGGCACACGTATTCCAGAAGCCAAATGCAGAAATCGTATATAGAACCCTTATGGAAACCCACTTTATCGAACTCTCCTAGACCGCTTATAGAAGTCTAGTTAGGTCTGATTGTAGAACTCTTTTGTAGAAGCCTTATCATAGAACTCTTGAAGCATGCTTATGGAACTTGTGAAGAGCTCGTGGAACCCCAGGTCCTCAGCCATCCGAACAGCTGCTGCTTCTGGAGCTTTCTCGACCCTCGTCCCAGACGACCTCAGGTTCAGACAGGAATGAGCATAGCATGGTGAGCCGTATGTATTTAGGTCCAGATTTTTGTATGTTGGTTCAGGGCTTAGGGGTCAACAGACTTTGACCTAATGGACTCTTGCAAAGGTGTTTACACTCGCAGTGGTGTTACAGGGGTATTTATAAGGTTTGGCATGGTGGTCTTAACAATAGGCGAGTAATTGGCTTTTGTGGTCGGTTGCGTTTTGTATTATGTGGATACTTTATTCAGACCTGAAAATTTCAACTAGCATGGGGCGTGGGTGGCGGGGATTTTATACAAGGGTGTCGTACTGGGTGTCCCCCTACCACTTGTACCGTATTTTCGAAACTCGTACATGGTCAGAAACATGGCGATCACAAAAATCGGGAAGGAATTGTTCAATGCTTTGGGCGTACGTTCAGGAGAGGAGTGGTGGTTTCCGGTCTAGTTTCACCTGGACCCTCCGAAAATCATTTTTGTCTGGGATTGTACATGAGGATCACCTTTCCATGGTGTCAGCTGTGATTTTGGCCTTCGGACGGGTAGGTTTTTAGATGTTAGCGTGCTATGCCTCAGGCAAAGGCTTTATCTAGCCAACCTTGCAGCATTTAGGCTTGAACCCCCGTTCGCAATAACGCAACGAATAACTTCAGACCCAAAACAAAAGCTTGGCCGGCGGGTCCTCTAACTGGCCTCTTTGGGGAGAGGGTTTTTAACTCAAAGCCACGGTCCGGTCTTACCCAGCGAATACATCTCAAGTCATGTCAAGGCCTCTATGATATTAAAGGAATCGCTTGTTCAGGGGCATTGGGCTCGCCGGGTCTGAGCTACCTGGTTTCGTGTGTGTCTGCGTGTTTCCTTGGTTTGTGAAGGTACCCTTTGCGAAGAAGACGACGAAGCGTAGATGCGCGTGTGCCTAGACAACACTGCCTTCGCAAACAAACACAGCCATTGTCGTATGATGCGTTTCGGCATGCAGCTTGACGGGTCGAAGCTTGAAGCCCAACGCTCTGTGTGGTCCAAGGTTCGGGTTCACGCTTTCGGGTTTGGGGGGTTCGGTTATGAAAAGCAATCTTGAGTTGCTTCCTGTCTGCCGAGATTCTGGGCTGACATCGCATGTGCCACCTGTCACTGTAGCACCGACCCTACCTACCTACCTACCTACCTACCTACCTACCTACCTACCTACCTACCTACCTACCTACCCACCGACCTACCGACCTACCCACCTACCTACCGACTTACCGACCTACCGACCTACCGACCTACCGACCTACCTACCTTCCTTCCTGCCTACCTACCTACCTACCTACCTCTTTCCACTAACACTACCAGGCTGCAAGGAGGCAGCAGGTTCAAGAGGTTATCGAACGGCCCAGCAACCCTTGCCCCTGAGAATCCCACCAACCCGAAATTCGAAACTTCCACGGCATCATTTCAACTTCCCAAGCCTTCGAACAACTATTTTGATAGAGGAAAGAGACATCGTGTGTGAGAGAAGGCCTGGTAAGGTTTGAATGTTTTCCGAACTTCGATGAACTTTCTGGAAGAACATCTTTCGGGCGGTTCAGGAAGTCTTCAGGAGCCTGGGGAATGATTTTGGTGGATTTCGACCACGTTCCCCCAAAACGGCCTCCTGATTAGCTCCCTTCTCCCAGGACCTCCAGGAGCTCCCAAGCGCTAAGATGCCGAAGCCCTGGTTAAGCCATGAAGCGCTGCAGCGATCAACTCTTGTAACACCTAAAACTCCCATAATCCGGGAGCCGCGCGCCCTGAAAGCGCAGCCCCAAGTCTGCCGCCTAACACAACAAAGCTAAACCCTATAATATCCCTTAAACCTTGCGCTGATGGGGTCGAAATGTGTACGCCAACAACCCTTGATACGCTAAACCCTATAATAAACCCTATAACCCCGAAGCAGTAAACCGACACTAAGGTTCTCACGACCTGCTGAAACTCCGTGTCCCGGAAAATGGCGGCCATGTCCTGGGCATCCAAGAATCCAGCGAGCCCAACTTACCAGTTCGATTCAGCAATCTTGCTGAATCAAAAAATGAAGTCTCTGTCGCGAAAGCACACGAGAAAAGGCGGTTTGATGGAAGGAATACCTTGTGCTGGGGCTCTCTGGGTCCATGACTTCAGGCCACTCGGTTGCTTACGGCAAGCACAACCGTCATCGGCATGACCGCGACCATCATCATCGCCAGATTGTCATTTCGACCATGCATGAAATATCACGGTCGTCATCAACGACAGACAACCACCGGTTGGGAAAAGTGTTCTACATTTAGGCCTTCTTCGGGGTCCGCCTACTGGCGACAGAACAGCGACCCAGAGCACTGGTTCACAAATTGATTCACGATCGGCCTGAGGTAATTACTTGTCGAACACTGTACCTGCCTTTATCCATGAGCCTCCATCAGTGCATTAGACTCGGAAGGCTGTGTGAAACCGGACGCAGTGCACCTACGAAAGCTTCTCAATGGCAGGCTGGAGCAGAAACTCCTCATCAACATCATCTCAGCTTGCAGTTGTAGGTCTTAGGGTTAAGCTTTCGGTTTTGGGTGAGAGCATCCTCATACCGGTATTTAAGCTCCCAGATTTTGCTTGAAATAGTACGCCCCTTCTCAAATCGAGCCATGTTGCCTGCATGCGATAGATCCTCGATCCCTCCTTCGGTTCGCGAATCTCGATATTGCGAAGGGACCTGCGGAGCACCGCGAAGAGCTTTTGGAATAGATGGTCCTCAAGAAGTAGTACAGCGTTTGAGAGTATAAGACAGCATAATCGGTTCGGGAGATGCTCACCAATTCAATTCTGGCTGGCAGCATGTTGCCTTCGAAGTCCCACGGTAATTGAGACATCATCTACTCTCTGGATTATTCTTCCCTGTATCAACCCTCTGTCCTGATGCCGAAGCCAACTGCCGATTCGAAAATGACAGACTACTTCTCTGCCACGTGTCGGCAACAGGCCTGTCCATCAAGAGAGTCGTCGATGACACCGTACCCGTGTCCTTCGCAGCTCTCAGATTGTCCAATTGTTGCTTCGGCATCAATTGCCTTACCCAAACAGCTCCAGCAAGGTGCTCCGACATCTACCTGAACGGTTCCGTATACAAGGACCACATGAGCCATCATCTAGGACTCCAGGATGCCGTCGAACTCATCGTGCTGCTGATCTACTGGGAAGTCCCTATACATGAGGCCTACAAGCGTGCGCCACCAGGCAATCCGCTCAGATCGGTTATCAAGGAGGTGTCTTGCCAGTCTACCGCAAAGACTCTCCTATCAGGAATACGTTGCCCATTACAGAGGCCAGCGACTCGCCAGCTTCCCCGTGGGATGCTGTCCTCATCGATGATGTTGACAGCCATGCCCTCCATGACGTCCTCATATCAGAGATGAGAGCGACAAAGCCGGAAAGCTTTGGTTTGGGTCTAACTAGTGTCGCTAGCGGCTCGAAGGGTGCCTCAACCATATGTACTGGCTAGCAGGTCTCTCAGGACCTTTTTTTCTAGCAACAGTCCTGAAGAACTATATGGGTCAGAGGGCAACAGGCATGGAGCGTTACGTTCATAAAGTTATATGCCTTGCTGCATCAAACACTCAAGATAACGCATAGTTAGCTTGATCTGCGGTACACGTGTTCCAGGTCTGTGATGCAGTGCAGGTGCCTTGGCGAAGTGTTTGACCGCCTGTTGCAGGCGTGCCTGGCCCCCACTGGAATTCGTAGGAATCTCAATTGCAGGTTGTCAGTTGTCGGGGTTTGATATCTTGGTTTTACTGTTGGGATGCTCGACAAAGACCCGATGCAACCGCCTTCGGTTTTGCATAGCAGGACAAGCTTCATGGTGAGTGGCGTCACAATTCCAACCGTCAGGCAATAGGATTGAAAAAAGGCAATGGGAGACACATGCTACGGAAAGGATAAGAAGGGGAGCTCGAGTCGTCAAAGAGTCATTGCCGCGAAGTACTACGACGCAAAGAGCAGTGGCTAGTGGCTACCGGAAGCTCAGAACAGAACGAAGATCGAACGGAGGTCAGCAAACCAAACCTGTCTGCAGATTCAGGAATCCACCAAAACTTGGCCGGCAGCATGGCTACATATCCACCGCGCTACTGCTACCACTACGGCTGCCGCGACTGCTCTGCTGCGACCATTCTAGTGGTAGTCGTCGTCGTAGGCATAGTAGTCGTAATAGTCGTAGATGTCGTAGTAGTTGTAGGTAGTAGTAGTGGTAGTAGTAG